TTCCATTACACTGGATTTAGGTCAAACTGGCTGCTCGCACTCGCTCGCCAGTTCAAAGCATTTGATATTCTCTTTAAGGAATATTTTATAAAGTGCTTACTTAAAAAAAATTACATTTATTTTAAAAACATAGATAATTGTTCTTTTAAAACAGTAAAGAAACATTTAGAATACTCAAACGAGGGTTATCATCTAGGAGGCATTTCATTCTTTCAATCTTTTAAAATAAAAAACACATCAGTAAAAATTCGCAGTTACACTTAAAAATAAACAGAAATTTTATAAACTGACCTGCAATTTTAAAAATACTGCAGAAAAACTTTCTTTCTACTAATTACGATAAAGAATTAATATAACCTTTGCGTACATTAGAAGCCGATTGAAACGCCTCCACGTCAGGATTTTTATATTGTTAATTAGCGTGAATCACTAACTAGTATACTTTGTTCTTATTGCTTTGAGATTTGTAGTAATAATGGTACGTGTTTTGTTCGACAGCGGAGGTGCTGCTCTCCTACATGTTCTACAGATACAAGTTCCATTGGGATGACGTCATGTTCGGATCCTTCCTCGCATACAGGAATATCGTCAGTTTCCTTGGTAAGTTAGTGAACAATCATTTCAAACATTTAAGTAGTTATATCATACTAGCTTCCGCCCGCGACTCCGTTCGCGTGATATTATAATAATAAAAACAAAAGAAAGTAGCCTAAGTGTTCTTCCAGACTATCCTCTACAGCTATGCCAAATTTCATCCAGATCCGTCCAGCCGTTTAGGCTACAAACTCTAACAAACATCCATCAAAACTTTCACATTTATAGTATTAGTATGATTTAATCATTTAATTTAAAACCTATTCTGTATATTGACGCATATTATTGTCAGCTATTGCACTTAGAGCTCAGAACTTTCGATATCGGAAAACAGAGTTCATTTTCCAAACCTCAATTCGTATGACCGCTGATTGTAAACATGACTTGAAAGGACAACCAAATCAACGTGCTATAATAACGTAGTACCAAATCTATTCTTACTATTTTTATTTCAGGCACACTGTTAATTCTAACAGTATTGAAGCGACGCCTGCGTCTATCAGACGAAGTCGTGGGCGTACTGAGCTGCACTTCATACATGCTCGCAACATCGGGTCTTATGGCCGCTTCCACAACACTAGTCGTATTTCTTCGTAAGTATAACTACGACAAACCTGTGCTAATCTTTTAACTAATTTATACTTTTATACTAAGTAATGTAATAAAGCGCAAACACACACTACTTTGTGACGTAGGATGTCAGCAATCACAGCATATTTTTGAATAATTATTTCTTTAATAAAAACTCTACACGTACGACGCGCTTTAGGCTATACATTTTCACCCTATTGAACTTAAGGGGTAAACAAATTGAAACCAAACTGTCATGTGGGAAAGCGACCATAAACTATAAGCTGCCAACATTGAGGAAGCAAGGTTTTTATGGTAACGAAAATTTTGAAATTTGCAATTGATAATTTGACAAATTAAAACAACAAAATAAAGTTTTTTTTAATTTCATGCGGATGAAGAAGGGAACATATAGTTTATAATAAATATCGTTTGGCCTTTTTTGTAAAAGCTTGCAGTAATCATTTGTTTTCTGTTACAGTTCCTCTGATCGGTATAATAGCGCAGGGATCTCAAGTCGTGCAGCGGCCAATTCTCAACAGACAGATATTACCCACTGAACAAGGTATTGAACACAATGTTTTGTTAATAATATCAGTATAACTACAACTTTATAAAAGGTCATGGAAAAATGTTGTGATAACATTAACATAATTGGCTTGATAGTTATTAGTTATTTTATTGATTTGCTTGGTAAACTTTTATAAGTAACTTTGCAAATTTCGACAAAAATAGCTATATAGAAATACGTCTTATAGGTATATATCACTGTCAGTCAAAACTCTTGCGGTTAATAATTTATTCTATCACATTATAATAAGAAAAAGTATCACGTACCTTAATTGACAAAAACCACAACTGTTATTAACCATAACCTTAATAGTTATATTACGTTGTTTGAAAAATTATCACTTAAACATTATTATATTGCGCAGTTAGTCCACGATGTAACATAACCAAAAGTTATCTAGAATGCAATTTTAATTTCAGCGCAGATGACATAATGAATGAGTCAGTTTTACTTTGAGATTAATGTGATGTTTAACTTTGCATGCATCTAATGCTGCAAAGATTTCAATGACTAACTCTAAATCATTTAAAGGTTGCTTCCACATTCACTTAGTACAGATTTCTTTCACTAAAGCTACTAAAGCGACAAGGTGATCAAAAAATTCAATACGGTAGTAACTTTACAAATTAATATTTTCAGGTAAAATATATAGTGTATTAGGTGCAATGGAATCTGCAACACAGACGTTTTCGTCGCCTCTGTATTCATTGCTCTACACAAAAACAGTAGCCACAAGACCTGACGCGTGGCTGATACCCGGCATCATACTAGCTGTCTTCCAATTGCTTTCGTATGCGCTAACAAGAAGACTGGGCATCAAAACAACCAAAGACTTAGCTCAAGTTGAAAATAATGCTTCTGTACAATTGGGTAAATCTAAACAAAAGGACGAATCTCCTCCTAAAGAAGAACCAAACGGAACGCAAGTAGTTGGAGATGAGACTGTTATTAATAAGGTGTAGGTAATTTATATCGAATTATATTAAATTTATTTTTTATAAAACATGTACTTTTATTTATAACCTATATTGATTTAAGATGCCGCAGTTGGATAACGAAATAATAACTAGTTACTGTCGATTAAATCTTTATGCATCAAAGAAAATGCATCGAAAATCAGAAAAGTAAAAATATTGCAATTATATACCACATTTCCATCCAGGATTCTGTAACGGGCTGAATGTTCTGAATAATGCCCTACTTTATCACACCAAGCATTACAGTGACATCTTTTAAAAGTAAAAATTTACAAATTTGCCATTATTATTAGTATTGTGGAAAGTTTTTTTTTTACAATATAAGGTGGCAAATGAGCAAGTGGCCACCTAAATCCACCGAAATGGAAAGCGACCGCTGCCCATAAACATCCGCAATTGCAGATGCGTTGCCTACCCTTCATTGACGGAGGAGGAGACGCACATAAAGAGGACATTTCATGACAAAGCATAGGCATCTCCTCCACCGTCAAATCCACTTTTCCTTCCCATCCTTTTCTCTTAAGAAAACGGTGGAAAGGGGAAGGGACTAAAATTAGGCCTCCGGCACTACACTCATCAGACGCAACGCAGAATTTCTTCCACTTCACGTCTGTTTTCTGTGTGGTCGTGGTATTACACCGGGCGAGCCGGCCCATTCGTGCGAAGATGTTAAAGCGGGCTCTACCACTGTAAAAAATTGTGGAAAATTTTAGAATAAGAACATTCTATAAACATTTTCTTTATATTCGCGTGATAAAGTTGATGCATTAATCTGATATAATTCATATCTGGTGTGTTTTAATGGATTTTTGTGATATTTGAAAATGTTTTTATCATATTTGTTAAATCATACTATCCCTTCGTGTCAATTTCTCTATTTTTATAAGTCCTGTGACGTCACAACAGTCACAGTGCACAGTGAACAAAAAGGTAACTAATTTATTTAATCCAAAACCAATTAAATCCAATCGTAAAGTACCAAAACGTGGAAGATAATGACCAACCACCAAATAGTTGCCACGCGATAAATTTCTGAAGTAAAAAAAGCTTAACACCAATAAATCAGAATTAATCAATCATGTATAAGGTCATCAGATTACTTCATTAAAATGCACATGACAACTTTAACAAATCAATCATTGATACTAGCACCAGATGTGGGAATGTTACGAGATACATCGAAAAATCCTTTACATGTTGTATCCTAATGGTACTAATTAAAAAAAAAGTATTAAAAAATTGTAATTTAAACTACTTAAAAGACAAAAGTATTTGTAATAAATGAAATATAACTATGTATGTACAATTGCTTTTGTTGTAATTCATGGTTGAATGCTATAAAATCTGTTATTTTAGGTATAATTAATGCTTCGAGTATCAGTATTTAGATCCGTATCGACACAAATAAGGATTACTGCATTTATCAATTATCGCTTGCCAATTAAAATACTCGATTGCTATTAAATTGTACAGAGTTTTGATTTTAAAATTATCTATAATATATATTCACAATTTTTTCTTCAGACAATATCTTCTTTTTACAGACAGTCCTTGAATCATTTCGCTTACAGCATGAAAAAATTAATAATGAAGAGTCGAAACTTAAGAGCGTAGGCAATTTTTTATCTATCAGTTGATGTGTACAATCGAGTAAATTTCAATTATGTAGTTATATGCAGTACAACTGTTCCGTTACAACAGTAAAGTTATAGGCTGAGAGATGAGTTACTAAGACTGAAGTTTCGGCTTTATATCTATTATTATTATACGTGCATACTTAAATTACACGCCAATAAGGATTACTACAGATTTTAATATTGTTTATCGAGTGACATGAAGAATTTGATACGTGTTAGGTTGACGTGATGAGATAAACCACATGCTTTGATTTATTTTTAGGCATTTTTAATTTTATCACTATTGCAAATCTCTTTTTATGTCAATTTGGCGTCGAATCAACGGAAACATACGATCAGATTGTGTTTAGATCAGATAAGATGCAAGTATAAAAACACGCAACGCGAATTTATTGCTCATATTTTTAATTACTTTCATGTGTTTAATTACTTTCAAGTGATAAAACCAACAATCAATAAAATTAATTATGTAAGTATTGAAAGCCTATAATTCATTTTAAAATTAAAACAATTAGATTTGATTTATGGTTCCAATCACTCAGTTCAGTCTAATGAGTAACGGTGCTTTTACGGCAATATGTGGAAAAATTTAAATAAAATTTATTGTTCACAGAATGCAGCGCCCCAACATGGATCCTCGCGTGCCAGGTGCCCCTGTGCAATCCGGTGTCTTCTCTTCAAGACCTAATCCCTGCTTCGGGCCAAGACAGCACCCGCTATCACCTTGCTTTGGACCTTCTGCGGCACCGGCGAGACAACCCTTCACATCCAACCCTTGCTTCGCCCCCGCACCGACACTCAGAAAACCGAATCAAGACCCTAATTTACCACCTCGATACGGACCCTGTTTCTAAAACTATTATAAAATTTAATTATAATTGTAATTAGGAATCTCGACTTGTCTCGTCCGTCTCGGTTGTTTTGTAAATTATCATACATTTACCATATGAGCTGAAAGTTTAAATAAATATTTGTTTATAAATATTTTTTGCAAACAATAAACGATGAGAATTTGTTATGTTAAATATCTGTTACCAATAATATAATCTATGATACTTGATCCAGTATTTTTATATTAATATTATGCTTCATACCTGTACCTACCTTTAATTGTCCACGAGCGTAGGTAGCGACTTGTGTCTTATTATGGAGTGACTGTCATGTTATTGTATCATTCTGTATGCAAATATATCTATACAAGCTTCTTCCCGCATATCGAAGAGCTAAAAATATAGTAAATAGCTGTGTTATTCTAGACTTTGCTTTATACCTGTGTCAAATTTCATTGAGATCCGTTCGAAAGATACCAAACTTCCATTCTTCTATCCACTTACCTCAACTTTCGCATTTATAACATTTTTAATAATTTACAGTATAAACGATATAAAAACGATATCTTGATACTGATATTTGTCACAAGCGCTTAATGTGACATCAACGTGATCATTAGCAAAATTTCATGTAACAATCTAACAAAACGCTGAGGCTATCAGGATTACGGTGGAGAATTCAAGTTATAGTAGCAGACACTTAAAAAAAAAGGAACGTAAAATTATGTGCATCAGAGAGACATTATTTTTGTTTTGTTTTATCCTTCGCCAAATATCAAGAGGCTGACAAAATGTTTCAAAAACTATTAAAATTATCATTTGAGTGTATTAAGTATCGGGTATCTGCTTATAGTCTCAAATAGCATAGCGCCGCCCATTAAAAAATCGATATTCCGATACTAGTCTATCGTATAAATTACATGTAAGAAAATAATTATCTCTTGCGATATACAAAACAAAGAAAAAAAATGATGAATTACCAAAACAACGGTCACGTTGTAACACACTCGCATTGCGGCGTAATTAAAAAATGAGTAATAGATTTCATTAGTTGTTTATTTAATCTGTTTCCATTATTTAACCTCTCGTGTAAGACCAAATTACCGTCCCTCGCGTTGGGTTAAAACATTGGGTTATAGGGATAGTGAACATGTACGTGTTTGAAAAGTGCTATTTCTAACATCTAAATATACTTTTTTTATGTTTTTTTTTCTGGCTATTCAATATTTTCAGTTCTGTTTTAGCCTGTGTATGCAATTTCGGTTATGTAATTAAACAAGCCAACTGATAACCGTCGTTCCAAAATATTCCACATTGAAGATAATCAATAAATTACACATTATGATACAGTTGTTGTGTAATGTACTGTTATGAAAAAAACGCAGAGGAAAACGATCATTCCTGAATATCATCGCTTAGTAACGAACTTCAGACGTACGAAACAATCGATTCAATCTATTTATAACCATATTTATTTTATCACTGAGGATTATGTTAATGCGATATTTTTGTTTCAGAACAATTTATTTTTAGAAACATCATAACGGAAACAGACATCAGATTATAAATATAAACATGATAAGGTGAGGTATAAATACTGAGCAAAAAAACTACACATGACAGTTTTGTGACAAGCTTCTGTTGTACGTAGCAAGCAGCGCTCTTTGCAAATTACGGATTTTATTATAACAAAAAGTAAGTGTAAAGTAACGCCTTCTATTCTCAATATTAGATTTTTAGAGCAATATGTTATGTTATTAATGAATTTCTAAAACAATTGGATATTACAGAATATTTACTAATTTCAATTTTTTTTCTAGGATGCAACGCAACCCCATGTCTAACGGTATGCCCTGTGCATTTGTATTTGGGCCCAATAGATCTCCAGTGGCACCTAACCCTTGTGCCCCTCAAGGACAACGGTTCTCTCCCTGCTTCGGCCCTGCACCCATGAGCTCAAATTTACCAACGAATAACACCTGTTTAGTATCAGCCGCCAGTCTAAGGAGACCCCCGGCGAGGCCTCAGGGGCCTAATAGATTTGGACCGTGCTTTTAGAATATAAGTCATACCCATTATTTAGAAGAATCTCATTACCTTAAGGCTTTGTAATATTTAAGTAATTAAATTTTTAATAAAATTAAATAATATACTGCCATACAAATGTATTTTTATTTTTTATTTACTACACTAACGATTTTATCGATGGTGTTTCGTGATCCTTAACAAAATGTATTATTTTTTCATAAACCGATAATTTTATTACATTCTTGTATATATTATACCATCACTCTATCGTAGAACAATGACAGTAACAGACTCACTTATAAAGATATAAACTGTAGAAAAAGCTAAAAAAAACATGTCAGAGTGACGAGCGGTTTGTAGAATTCAATTCCGAAGGCAGAACTTATACACGGTAACTATACTCAATTGTGAGTGTGCGTATGTCGGAGATAAAAAAAGCAATCGTGTAACATTAAAAACACCAACCTTTGTTGACTACCATCATTAATGAAAACTGCACAACACGATTTACATGTTAACCAATTGATTTTACAATTACAAAGCTCATCGTTCCATTCAAATACAACTGTCATCTGTCATTCGATCGCCAACTTGACATCAATAATGCCCGATGCACATTCAGCCAGTATTCAAAATTATTAATGGCCAGTAACTTTATTCGTTCAAAGAGTATCAATCATTTCGCGCTGTTAAACATGAGACGTCTTTTACTATAGCATCAAAATGACATGTTCTAACAAACTGAAGTCCTAATTAAAAATAAGGGAAAAGAAAGCATCAAAATAATGGGCTTCTACTAGATAAATGTTATCTTATTATGTTTTAAAATATACACCTACGTTAAACTAGTATAGAACTACGTGAAATGTATTATAGTGCCTGCTGTATCTTGTTGTGGAGAGAAATAATTTTTTTTGTTTTTGAGACGTTTTAATGATGAGAATCTCGAAAAATTTTGAAGTAACTAAAATGGTTTTTTAATTTGCATTTTTTAATTTTGACAGATAGCTGATGTTTTTATAACGTAAAATAACCAGTGTTTAATAGTTTTTATAAATCTGCAGAAAAAAATAAGTTGTAATTGATAGTTTAATTTAAATAAATTGTTGAAGTTGCATTTTCGACTTGATTTGAAAAATCTTGAAATCATGATTACTCAAAAATTATGCACGTGGGGGTCAAAATTATCATAAATGAACCCTTCTATTACCTCTTAGCGGGAATACGTTAAATTATCAATAATTCTGTATATCTATACTATTATAATAAATCGTAAACACACACTTCTTTGTTGCCTAAGATGTCAGCAATTACAACATTTTTATGAATAATTCTTTTTTTAATAAAAAGCTCTATTCTTATCACGCTTTAGGCTATATATTTTCACGCCATTATACGTAGGGGGGAAAATCTTAATGTGGGAAAAATACCATAAGTTGCTGCCAACATCAAGGAAGGAAGATTGCCAAGATTTGTCATGTTATGCGTTTTTGTCATTTGCTGTTGATAATTTGACGAATGTAAACAATAAAATTTTCATAATTTCATGCGGATGAAGCCGCACGGGTACAGTTAGGGTATTATTATAAGTAGACGAAATAGTTATACTTGGAAAAGTTATTTATCCTAATCCTAATTCCCAAATAAAATTAATCTTTACCAAAACTTTATTTATGAGAAATTAAACACTATGATTCGAGATAATTAAAGTTTTTACTAGAAACACTCAGATAAACAAGATAATTTACAAAAAATAATGATTATTCATAATTGATATTTTTTGGTGTTTTAAATTTTTTCCTCGAATGTTATCGTTGAAAATAACGGCGAATGTTATCTTATCCGATATATTATGAATCTTGAAACATTTGATAGTTATACTAAAAAAAACCTAAGATAGCTATTATGAAATACAAAAAGTTACGATTTGACTATATCGAATTGAACAAACTACCAACTAACTTGTAAGTTTGATTTAAAAATAGCTACGTAAAGTAAAGTAACTTTAAAAATTTGATAAATTTTGGTATATTTGCTGTAAGATGCACAATACACGATAGGTTGATTTTTAAGCGTGCAAATGCACGTAGAAAATGGATACATTGAATTATGAACTCGTTACTAATATTGTCACCTATTAGTTTACCCGATAACAAAAGAACAACAAAGAAATGATCAATTGTTTTATTTTTAACTTCAGTATTATTATTATTAATTCTATTTTCGCAACAGATCAGCTTTGTAAGATTGTGCGACTGATAATATGTCTGTATAAATACTGGTCTGTACTTTATTTCTGCCATACAAGAGACATCCGCTAAAGCTCGAAAGGTCCATAGTTTGTTGAGTTTTGTGTGACTCTAAGAGCAAGTTTCTAGATTGAATTTATTCAGTTTTAATTTAAATCCAAGTGAGTACGCATATATAAGTGATACTTCGCCTATTTTATTCTATTCATAAAAGTAAAGTTAAGTAATGTAATAAAAATGTTAACAATTTAATTGCAGGATGTACTTTCCGGTTTCTCGTCCTTCAGCCAATAGACATTCAGTAAGACCTGACCCTTGCTTCGGGCCAGGCTTTCAACGATATAACACAGGCCCAGTCTACTCTCAGACTGTACAGATCTCTGCATCTCCAAGCCCTTGTTTTGGACCTCCAGCACAAACAACACAAGGACAAAACTCTTGCTTCGTCTCCGCTGCTGCGATTCATAATTCAATAAGAAGAACAAATTTAGGAAATCAAAATCGTTTCTGTCCTTGTTTTTTATAAACATATCTTTGTATTATTCATAAGAACTGTAATCTCAATTTATTAGCTTAATTAAAGTTATAATTATTTATTAAACCCTTTTTTTATTTATTACTGCTCATTCTTCGAAAAGGAACTATGTTTTATTAAATTGTTCTTTAACCTTGGCAAAATAGAAGAAGTACGTAAATAAAACAACGTTCCAAATTGGTTACAAGTCTTGGTGTCTTCAATGGAAGAATGGAAGTTAACTTGTACGACCCCTATCAAAACTATTTTATCATTTACTAAGCAATGCAACTTAAATTACCCTGTTGATACTTAAGTATATATTTATCCCTACAATGTCCTTGAAATTGATGTTAATGATAAAACGCTGGATAATATAAATAAGCATGTATGTACCATTCTATATAAATCGCAATCTTATCTCGTTGTATTTATTGTGGTTTAAACTTTAAACATACGCAGATTGGTTAAAGTTAGTGTTAAAATTGTTTATTTCTTATATAGTTACTAATTACAAAATTTCTTCGGCATAATTTAACTACTTGATTTGGAAAAATGTAAGTAGAAAAATGTTTTTTAACATATATAATTGTTAAAAACATTTTTCTTTTATAATGTTTTTTAATAATTAGTAAGACTCGAATTTGGATAAATTAACAACAAGCTTTGCAAGTTAATTCGAAAAAAATGGTTAACATCACAATATACCAATAGACCTTCTTACGTTGGTTTTGCTTATTTCGTTAGTCGCTGGTGGACGGATGTGCAAGCACGTACATGTAGTGATAGGATGACGGCCCAAAGACAATATCCAAACACGGACAAAATAACCACATGACAGGAAAATCCTCATCAAAACAAATGCGCTCATGACTTAAAGTGAGCACTCATATCACATATCATTTTCGTAGATAGCAGTTGAGTGCGTGATTCGCGTAAAGCTTGGTGTTTCAATACATAATAATTGATATTAAAAATCAAAATAAACATTCCAGAATGCCACGGGAACCAGTGAAACATTTACAAGTACCACAAGTAAGAATTAGTGAAATCCGAAGAAAATCAGAGGGATCAACTGGCAAGAAACTAGCGACACTTTTTTCTCCAACGCTAAACGGAACAGATTGGAACAGTTTCTTTCCTAACTTCACCATAACTAATGAACGCAGACATAGTCATAGAGCACAAAATCCTAGAGCATTTCATAATTATGATCCAAGGTTTTAAATTGAAAATTATGTAACAATAATCTGTTATTACCAGCTCTACACGAAATGTGACTAAACACTCAAATATGGGAATACAAATAAATGTGAAACAGATATTTAATAACGTTGTTTTCTTTTTAATATAAGTGGTAACTTCTAAAGAATATATCCTTTTTGAATACACTTACTTTACTTGACATTTGCTACTCAAAACTCATAGTCTACAAGAGGCGTCAGATCTAATTGGAGGCAGGTTCATCACGGTTAGTGACTCGTGCGGTGTTAGATGCGTAGAAATGTTAAATTGCATCATTTGGAAACAATAACCTACTTACCAACACACATGACTCACATTTAGTATCTGCCAAACTATTATTGTCTTTTATCTACGTATGTGAATAATACAAGGAATTGTACTTTATCGTGATCCTTAACTATAAGTGAACGATTATTTCTTACTCACTGATTAATCTATAATCTTTGAACGATGCTATTTTGCCGTTTCCGATATCATTTTAAATGAAAGCGGAAATTACGAAATAAGTCGGAATGTAATAATTGTTGCCATGTCGATATGGTTAAGTTTTTATAATATCTGGAAAAGGTCTTTCACCAGATCAGATTCAAAGCTCTTTTACACAATGAACAAGTACAAAAAAGGCAAAATTTTACAACAAACAAAAAGTTTTTATTGTTTTATCCGCCTTTCGTCTTATGGTTAACAACCACCCATTTCATTTGTCTTTCCCAAAGGCGTTTATTAAAAGTGCCATTTTTATGCAAAAAACGTAACATAATTAACGCTATAAGTTCGATAAATAATTGATTTGTACGTTGCATTAATGTAAGGCGATTTATTATAATTTCAACCAGACGATGGTTTCGGAAAGTTGATGAAATGTAATTGATCGGATTTTCACGTCAAAAAAAATTAAAATGTTTACGAGATCATTCTTATCTATAAGGATTAATAACAATGAAGAAAGTCGCAATAAAAATGTGATTAGTTTTATTTTTAGCTTTTATATCGCTAAGCCTAGATTATTCTGGATTGATAAAGTTCTTAAAATAAACACTGAACACGCTTCTAAGTTGATCAGATGAACTCTACAGATAACGCGTTTGTATAAATACTGCTCATACGGTTGTGTGTGCTGTAGTACAAGATACGACCGCTAGAGTTCACAAGTGCTTCTTCTAGTAGACAAATCGATTCTTTTTTGTTTTACTATTACCAAGCGATTTATTCATAAGAAAAGTAAGTAGAAAAACTACTTCTTTTTTAATAACTAATCACATTTCTACAAAAAATAACTCTCAAATTTTACAAATTCTTATTTGACAGCGTCTTTTAAAACTACTTCTGGTAATGTCTATTGCCTAGTATTCTAGTTTAAAATATCTAACTACAAATTTCTAGCAATTTCGTAGTCTTTTAAAAATAATTAATAATTTATTTCTTTCAGGATGCAGAGTTCTATGAATTCCCACACAACTAGAGCCAGGCAGTATGCAGTCGGACCAAGCCCCTGCTTTGGCCCACCACCGTACGTTCGGTACTCGCCCTGTACAGTACCGGTGACTCCGACACACCAATGGACGGCACCTATGGCACCCATGCAAAATCCTTGCTTAATGTCTGCTGCGTCTATACGCAATTCAGTACAAAGGACCAACATGACATCGACAAAACGATACGATCCATGCTTTTTATAAATTCAAATTAACGACTCTACTTGCTCTTTAAAACCGAATCTCAAAATGTTGCGACTAACTTATTTTATTTTTTTAAGTCTTGGTTAATTTGTTTTATATTTTTTAATAAATAAGTTTAAAAAAAAAACTACATTTTGTTTCTTTAAATAATTACCCCTTCAGTAGCATTATGATATAACATTATCAAAAAGGACATTTCGATATCGCTGTTATTTCATTTATCTGATAATTAAATTGCTCTCTAATGTTAAAAAACAACGCGTGAACGCTGTTATGTCTCGAATACAAAGTCAAGGAGTTTTTTGTTATAACAATACTGCACCTATGTAACACGTATAACAACTGTGGAAATATTAACTAGGCAAAATGAATCTCTAATCATACTTAACTTATTAATATTATAAATGCGAAAGTTAAGATGGTTGGATGGATGTTTGTCGGAGTTTGTATACTAAACGGCTGAACGGACTTCTATGAAATTTGGTATAGATGTAGAGTATAATATGGAAGAACACATGGGCTACTTACTTTTTTTTTAATTTCACGCGGACGGGGTCGCGGGCGAAAGCTAGCAATATTATAAAAAGGAAAGATTTGTATTTATAAAAAAAATGTATATCTAATATAAAAATAAATCAAAAAACTACTGGGCCGTTATCAAAAATTTTTTTACCATTCAAAATATAGGCTAGTCATTTTTTTGCTATTCATAAATTTCGCGTCGACGAAGTCGCGAGCTACAGCAAGTGCACAAAGTTTTGCTAATAGTATGTCTAGTCAATTCTGCGCAATCATAAGAATGTCCAAACACGTGAATTGATATGTTATACAATAAAAGTGCGAAATTTACTTTTACATAAAAGGGATTAAACTAATGATTCCAATAACATTTTATAGCACAATAAACTTTCATTTGTTTTATTTTTAGTGACAAATGTTACTATTTTTAGATTTTACATTTATTGACTTGATAAACATTTAAAAAAAAACCTTAATACAAGGACTATATCGAATAATGATTTTAAATAGTCTGAATTTGAACTGTGTAAAACTCGAATTTAATTTCGAGACGACCGAATATTAAAAATGAAACTTTTTTATTTTATACATCTTATCTTCATCACTAGCGCCATCTATTGCTGAAAAGGCTTTATATTACATATATCGTTACGAGGATTGTGTTATTTATTACTGTAATGCTATCAAGCTACCAAATGTTCAACGTAGAGGGCACTAGAATTTATTACTTGTTTTGGTATGGATTTTTAAGATAAGTTGTTTGAAGAAAGGAAAGCAAACAAGAGGGTAATGAGTTAGAATGTAGATTGTTACAACTGTAGAAAAAAAAACGAAGAAAGTTACATTGCACACTAAGGTTAATGTTTCAGAAAGAAGTAAATTAAGATATGACGGCTGACAGAGGTGTAAGAATAGTAGTGAAATCTGTGACCCTAAGTAGAAAATTATTCGTTAACCAGTAAATAGTTGTGTTAGATATTTCGACACAAATGACTTCCTTTAAAATATAGACGGACGGCCATATTAACAATGATTATAAATTACTTTAAAACACACAAACTGCACTTCAATGCGACAACGCAAATATATCGAACGTTCCGTGGTGACGACTAGTAAAACTGCGACTATTTATTAACACTATTCCTTTCGTTTCCTTATATTTTCCTAACAATATTGTTGTTTTAAATAAAGATAAATGTATTGATAAATAGCACAGATTAACAAATAACTTTTAAGAATACAGAATGGATAAAAAATAATTAAAAAGCTAACAGTTGCTTGTAATTTATGGCTAAAAATCAATACTCAAGTCTTGTATCTATTATATTAAATCTTATCTGTGTAACTAAATATCAAGATCCATTGAGCCGATCAGGACCTTACATTCTAAGATGCATCCATCTTAAATTTATAATATTAGTGAAATTACTGAATACGTTACGTCATTTCATCAAAGTTACATTTCACATGTTTCCTGACAAAGAAAAATAATTAACAGAAACGATTACACCGTTGTTTTTAACGCTTAATTTATTTTATGCATCTGCTTTATCAAGTCTTTATCGAATTACATCTATTAAAATAATTGTTGAAGATGTACTATACAGTATGTAGGCGTTTTGTGACGTAAAAAGCTAAGAGAAGTGTCTGTTAAGATAATCTCCTAGATATGATGAATGGCATGACTTCCTAAAATAATAAAGTGGGATTCCCTATCACTAGAATTGTTTTCAGTCTTCGCTGTTATATTTCACATATAAATTATATCTATATAAACAAAAAAATAGTTGTTTAATGTTTTGTTATGGACAAAAAGTTTTAATAGGAACACATAATGTTTTTAGAGGAAATAGATTTGGAAAATATCGCGAAAGACTTTTTCATTTTTCTTACTTAATCACAGATTCCAGTTTAAGGTTTATTAATTTTTTAATTATTTAGTCTTAAAGATTTTGATCGGATAAAAATCTACTAACTCTTTAATGTTTTACTATCTTCCTAAATTAAAACTAAACAAGACTAAACTAAAGTCTACGAACATACAGACGAACCATATCGATTTACTTGTATATAGATGCGATTATTTATTTTGCGTCTATTATCATATCAATTGTGAATCCCAAATTTCAAGTGTGGAAATTCCGCATTTGGAAGATGACAGATAATTTAACAAATCTTACATTCTACGTGTATTTATAAACAGAACAGTCGAAGCTGACTTTATTTCGTGCAGGCCTTTTGTAGAAGCACCTTCGGAGAAATATTCAAAGGTAAAGATTTTTTTAATTGTAACTGCAGCCGATTCTAGCGTAAAATAGTTGGTCATATATTTAAAAAAATAGCAAAGTTTGCCACATGTAAATAATGTTTAACATTCTTTTTTATTTTTTCTAAACTGTAATTACAAAACCAACTGTAATTTAAAGTTTATTAGACAAGTTAATATCATTTATTCCTTAATGTAATTAAAATTTACCTAAGAGTAATAATTTATCTATTATGAAGATGAAGATGCATATAGCAATGGCATAAACATTAACCGTAGGTTATTACAAATTTGTTAAAAACTTCACAAAAACTATATTTTGCCATAATTACACCTTAATTTAATCGAAATTCATTAAAAAGTGATTTTTTTTTCTCTAAACAAGTACATTTCTACTCTTTGCCGTTGTTATTTTTTATGTGCTTTGCACTTTTATTTTAAGGCGTCACGTGCGTTTGGCCAGTTCTACCTTTTTGACAAGTTTAACCTCTTTGGTAGTAATCTTAGTAGTCATTTTGTTTTAGAAAATAGAATTGAAATCGTAATTAATCGTAAAATTTATTTACTCAAAACGGGTGTGTTTTTGTTTCTTTTTAGGTAACTTTAACCACCGTTAGTGTTTGCATTTATGAGAAGGAAATTGTTTGATTTATTTTTATTAATATGACATGCCTTTTTTCAGATATGTCGGCTCCCAAAGAAAACAAAGACCGCAAGCCGTACCCGCCGCCGTACGAAATACCTCATCCACCGCCAGATTCTAACAACGGAACACGATCAAATGCCTGACCACCACACCACATAAATAGTGAGCCATTAGACTAGTATACGTGTATAGTATACGTCTAGTATGGGATGAACTACCACGCCTCTATTGCTAAACTTGCACACTTTGAGGAAAAATCAAAAATAAAATCTATTCGTGTTAGTACTAAGTAACCTTGCTTACCAATTTCTGGTAAAAGCACTTCGAGGACAAGATTCGCTTCGAGAGTTAAACCTGTAGCATAGATTTAATATCTGCATACAGCGGACGCAAGAAGAATGTTATTGTAATTTTTATATTATGTTATGTTTTTTTAGGAAAGTTATATTTGAACTTGTATGTAATGTATAAAACTTTAATATATTTATGCAAATAAGTCATTTGTTTCATTAGCCTCATTTTTAGAGCGTGCGCACACCTGCAACTGAAACTAAACAATCTCACAACTAGGCACACTACTCCATTTTTAGTTGTGCAACTAAACAGTTGCATTTACTGCGAAACAATCGACAATCGCATAACAGTTGTGCGTAGTTTAGTCAAAGATGTGCGCACTCTTAACTTAAATAACTACTTCAATATCAATTCGCAAAGCACCGGAGTTTCAACATGCGTAAAATGGCTTTCGTATGTTCGAGAACATACTAAACATAACCTAACAAAAGTCAAACTTATAGTGCCAATATCTTCCTATGTACCGATATAAATTGTACCTTGTATAAGTGCTATAAAAGGTGCATCCCAAAATCCAACATGTTTCTCATAATTGCTTTTGTGTATTGATTACAACAGCAAAACCACATTAAACTTTTCACCGAATACACGACTAAGTAGGTCGTAAATTGTTAATTGAAAATATCCTTATTTTTTTTAAGATAGCAGTAAGGAGAAAATCAGTTGTTTTGTCCACTCCAAAACAATTGATTGAGTATAATACTATAGGTAATTACGCTGACGATGGTCCGCAGTATGTTAGAGTAGTTGAGATGGAACAAGTTGCACGCTGTAAACTGAACCCGGTTTGTAGAGACCAGCTGTTTGAACGTCGTCATCAGGTTTCTTCTAGATTGATCTGAAATGTTACTACCTTTTTATCAACTATGTAAAAGGATCACAAGATGAATAAGAGATAAACTAATTTTCTATTTTCATTGGTTCGACTCTACCAAAATTTAGTGGTTTACTAAATTTTTAACATAATATTAACGTATTATAACATAAAACTTACCACATTTAAAATTAATCAGATATTTCATAATTAGTACTTCGGTTTGTTCGACTTCTTTAGTCATTTGTTCATTAACATAACAGCATATGTAGTACCATAAATAAAGCTGAGCAACCTTCGCAACGACGAGCCAAGAGGTTTTCTGCAATATTCAGCGCAATTAAGTATGTTTAATAGTTAGTTTGATTTAATAAGTTTGTTAAGTAGTTTTAATAGTTTATATTAAAACATCTATGAAGTAAGATTCTGTAAATTTAGTACACAGTAATTTATTAAGTGATTACAAAACATGTTTGATAATTAACGCCTTCTGTTTTACGATAGGCAAATAATGTTTCATGCATTTTCTTATCCTGCTATTATTTATCCTTTCTATAGTTTTTTTTAATATTTTTATAAACATTGTACCATTATCCACATTTAAGTAAATGATGTATCTCACCTCCATTACAATTATTATTGTAACACCAATGATTGCACTTGAAAACATTAACCATACAGTAAAGAATACCTAAAACAAATTTATTATAGGTTATTTCTTCGTAATTGCTATAAAGTAAACATAGTATACAATATCATTTACCTGAGTACCGTGGTTAATCTCCAACAAACGCACACAGGTAGCAATATTGTCGTAATTATGACAAAGTGATTTTATATCAATATACTCAGAACTCATTTCAATAAAGGTTATCTTCGCTTTTAAAAAATAAACAACTGAACGTTTTCTTGTAAATTTTTCATCATTCAATATTGATACGTTTTCAGTACACATTTCTTCATTAAAACTTAATATTTGGGATAATTTAAAGTTGATAGCCTTTAAAAAAGCTAGGAGAAGACACAGATGAACAATTAAATGCGTCACAGTCAAAAATAAAGGAATCTTGAAGATAAATACGTATGGACGGTAGCCAAAAATAAATTCACTTATTATCGAAATTAAAAACAATACAGATAAGAATCCAATCCATAGATGCAATTTGTAGGAGAACATTCTAGCACTAACGTTGTCTATTTTGAGCCCAAAAAATATATTACGTACAATATTATAAATCTGAACAAAAACTTCATCATCACTTAATAATTCCAGAACAATAATTATTATATTAACTATTAAATTATTAATTCCGTCAACATCTGGTAGATTATGTTTCAGGTCTAGATAATTGTTAAAATTAACAAAAAAGAAATAACCAGAAGTTGTAAGACCTATAATCAATAATGACCATAGTACTAACAATAGTCTGTAGATAGATTTTTTAGTTTCGTTGGTAATATCAAAAGGTTTTCTCAATCCGAAAACAGTATAAAGGAAATTGTAAAAGCGGAAATATTTGTAAAACATCTTACACGTCTTTATTCAAATGAAGTAAGCAACGTAATGTTATTAAAAAATTTGGAGGTAATTCACGATGCCTAAATTATAACCTTAAAACTAATGATATATAACAACTGTTAATTATTTTATAATTGAGTTAAAATTGATCTGATATGTGACTACGACATAGTAAATGAGTTTTTAATAGCCTCTACCGCCATCTTTTAAATATCGTGTGGATCCAATGAATTAATAACTATTGTTTGGTGCAAGAAGTAATTGATATCGAAAATATTGGACATTACAATTTGATATAAAGGAAATAGAAAAATTAAATGACTACATTTAGAAAGCAGTATGGTTACGTCATTATTTTAGTCATAAATGAAGAACTGGAATGCGCAAAACAATGATTGTTTCAATTGAAATAATTACATTTCAACGAATAGTATGCATTCCTTTTTATCTGGCTTTATATTTATCTAATCAATCCGAGCTGTCCACCAAGCGTGATATATTTCTTGCGTTGATAACATTTCTACAATAGATAAAGTCGTGTCCGACGATACAGCGTTCCTGAATCTGTTTTATTTGTTTAACAGTTTTGTATTAATTTTGTAAACATGTCAAATGGTGAGTACAAATACATTAATTTTTTTGGTGGTGTAAAGATGGCAAAGTTACTTAGAGTTTACTTATTCATTACTTAATAGTCGTGACTCATGATCAAGAGATTGATCGGTCTAGTTTAGAAATCTTATTTATTTGTTTTTTTATTAGATTGTGATTTAAGTATATGACAATCTAGACCATCGTAAACGAAGTGAATTTATATTGCATGTTAATTCTAGAAGTACTAATAAAATAGATGACGAATGTTAAAACAGTAAATACCTGTTGAGTTTAAAGTGCCATGTAAACATTTCCAGTACCACCACCCGGCGGCCCGCCTCCGTACGCAGGGTATCCGCCGCCCCCGGCACCGGGTGCCTTCACC